GCTTCATGGCTGCAAAGTGGTCCTGGAGCTGCGGCCAGGAGTCATCGATGTGAGGCTCATGGAAGACCTCCTGGGGAGGGGGTGACATGGGGGGACGGGCTCAGAGGGCAAGGAGGCGGCACTTGAGGGACGGGGGTGCAGGTAGGAGATGGGGGTGGGGGCACGGGAGTTCTGATCATGGCAGGGGAAGGGTCCTTTGGGAGAGGCTCTGGGGAGCAGGGGGTCTCACGTTGTTGTGCAGGAAAAGGGTGATCCTGTCGTGGGGATAGTCTAAGAGCAGCAGCCGCTGCAGGAAGCGGGGCAGAAACGGGGTAGGCTGTTCCACAAACACGGCCAGAAACACCCGGGGGGGAGGCTGGAAGATGTGGCAGGAAGGCGCTCAGAGGGAAGCTGGGACTTCCCCACCGCCCCCACCCACCCTCCACCCTGCCAGCTTCGGGGACCCAGGGCCACTGCCCCCACCAACACCCAGCCCCCTGTCCTTGCATCTCCTGCTCAGCATGCTGCCTTCTCACTCCCCTCCCGGCACCCCTGCCTCACCTGCCCCCCCGGGAGTGTCCTCCGGTCCCGGCTGCAGAAGCCACAGCCTCCCTCGGGAGTCCAGCCATTGGGGACATAGTTTCCCAGGTAGTTGAGCTGCAGCTGTTGGGGAGAGACTGAGGCTGAGCGGCTGAGGCCTCCAGGGGTGGAGGTGGGGCACCTCTGCTGTGGGAGCTGGGGAAGGCCGGCTTCTCAGAAGGGTTGGAGATGCCCGGGGGTTGGGGCAGGGCAGGGCAGGGGTTGAAGCCACTGGTGGCACCTTAGTAGGACCATTTCCATGGACCACAACGGGGAGCGTGTCGTAGGCCACGTTCCGGATACGCACACGGTTCCGATCAAACTTTAAAACCACTTCATCTGGGGAAGAAAAAGGCCACGCTTCAGACCCCCTTTCTCTGGGAGCTGCCGAGCAACATGTTCTTCTAAATACGGGGTCCCAAATTCTCCAGGGATAAAGGGACATCGGGGCCATCCTGGAGTGTGGCTTGTAGGTGTAGGAACCTTCGGGTTCTGACAGGCTGTTGGCCCAGAGAGCTCCACTGACTCCTACCTGCGTGATCACATCGAAGCTGCTGGGCGAGGAAGGGCAGGATGAGCTGAGCTGGGGGCCACTGGGAACCTCAGCATCCCTATCCCTCCTCCTGTTCTTTCTCTCTCTCTTTTTTTTTTTTTTTTTGAGACGGAGTCTTGCTCAGTCATCCAGGCTGGAGTGCAATGGCGCCATCTCAGCTCACTGCAACCTCCACCTCCTAGGTTCAAGAGATTCTCCGTCCTCAGCTTCCTGAATAGTTGGGATTACAGGCGTGTGCCACCATGCCCTGCTAATTTTTGTATTTTTAGCAGAGAAGAGATTTCGCCATGTTGGCCAGGCTGGTCTTGAACTCCTGACCTCAGGTGATGATCCACTTGCCTTGGCCTCCCAAAGTGTTGGGATTACAGGCATGAGCCATCACACCCAGCCTAAATTTTGTATTTTTAGTAGAGATGGGGTTTCATTATGTTGGCCAGGCTGGTCCTGATCTCCTGACTTCATGATTTGCCTGCCTCGGCCTCCCAAAGCGATGGGATTAGCCACCGTGTCCAGCCCCCTTTCTTTTTTCTTTTTTGAGATGGAGTCTCGCTCTGTCACCAGGCTGGAGTACAGTGGCACGACCTCAGCTCACTGCAACCTCTGCCTCCCAGGTTCCAGTGATTCTCCTGCCTCAGCCTACTGAGTAGCCGGAATTACAGGTGGCTGCCAACATGCCTGGCTAATTTTTGTACTTTTTTTTTAGTAAAGACAGGGTTTTGCCATGTTGGCCATGCTGGTCTCGAATTCCTGACCTCAAATGATCCTCCAATCTTGGCTTCCCAAAGTGCTGGGATTTCAGGTGTGAGCCACCGTGCCTGGCCTCTCTATCTCTTTTCTCCCCATCCCCTGAGGCAAGTCACTAACCCCTCTACAAGTTGCTTTCCTCATCTGTAGGAGGTGGATAACCAGGGACCTTCCCCTTGTTAAATGAAATCACAGAAGTAAAACCCCTGGCCCGGCGCCCAGGCACAGCATGTGTGCACCAGACGCCAGCACGCTTTGGCTTCCCTCGCTTCTAGTACGATCAGCACAGTGCAACTCACACTGTCAGCCACTCACATGCCCGACAAAGCCACAGGGAGGTGGGCTTAGGCCAGCTCAGCTCCTCCAGAAGCCTCTCCCAGCTCAAAAGCCCTAGTGCGGAGGCTGAGCATCCCCCGCCTGCTGCTGTCTTCCTCCTCACCTAAAGCCCCGTTGAGGTTCTGAAAGATCCGAGACTTATGATCCAGATTAAGGCCGAGTTTCTCCTGGATGGAATGAGATTCGATGGAGTGGTTAAAATGGAAGAAGCAGGAAGGATCATTTCATCATTTCTCACTTTTTTTCTCTCTCTTTTTTCTCTTGCTCTTGTTGCCCAGGCTGGAGTGCGGTGGTGTGATCTCGGCTCACTGCAATCTCCGCCTCCTGGTTCAAGTGATTATTCTGAGTAGCTGGGACTACAGGCGCATACCACCACGCCCGGCTAATTTTTGTATTTTTAGTAGAGATAGTGGTTTCACCGTGTTGATCAGGCTGGACTCAAATTCCCAATCTCAGGTGATCCACCTGCCTTGGCCTCCCAAAGTGCTGGGATTACAGACGTGAGCCACCATGCGTGGCTTCTCTTTTATTTTTTTCTAAGAGATAGGGTCTCATTCTGTCACCTCAGCTGGAGTGCAGTGGTGCAGTCATAACTCAAAATGTCCTCAGACTCCTGCACTTAAGAGATCCTCCCACCTCAGCCTCCCAAGTAGCTGGGATTACAGATGTGCACCATGAAGACTGGCTAATTTTTTATTATTATTATTATTTTTGTAGAGATGAGGTTTCACTATGTTGTCCAGGCTGGTATTGAATTCCTGGGCTCAAGCAATCCTCCTGCCTAAGCCTCCCAAAGTGCTGGGATTACAGGCGTGAGCCGCCATGCCCAGGCACACATTTTTTCTCTTTACAACCCCCTTCGCCCCCCTGCTCCCATTCAGCCTGAGGCCTCCAGTCCCACAGAGCCGTGGCGTGCACCCACTCTTCTGCCCTCCTTACCCTCAGCCCTGGGTCCAGGTAAAGCCGTGTGTAGAACAGCTGGTCATCGTCATCATCCTTGTACTTCCACTGGCGGACAATGTGGTGGATGGTGGTGGCAAAGCCGATGAATCCTGGTGGGGAGGTGAAGCGTTGACCCTGAGACTCGCAGCGTCCCACGGCCTGTCCCCCAGGCCCTCTCCAGCCCTCAGGCACCAGGAACACTCTGTGCCCCACCGCTCTTGGCCCCTCTGCCTTGGGCACTCTGCCACTCACCACCAGAGTTGAGGAAGCGCTTCCCCGTGCCCACCTCAGGGTACTGCTCTGCCAGCCCCCACTCGGGCCAGCAGAAGCTCTCTGCAGAGAAGAGCAGGCGGCTGCCACTCTGGACGAACTTCTTCAGCAGCTCCGAAGGGCCGCCGGCCAGAATCACATCATAGCTGGGCGAGGAAGGGGAGGATGAGCAGGGGTCCACTAGGAACCTCAGCATCCTTACCTTGCTCCCTATTCCCAGCCCTGTTACCTGTCCACAAACATGATGATCATATCCTCCCGGTCAGCATATTTCTCCATTTCCTTCTTTAGCCACCGGACCTTCTGTCCTCCACCAACTGTTCGGGCCACATCACCCCCTCGCCACTCCTCTCCCAGGCCCAGGGTCTGCGGAGGAGATGCCCAATGCCAGGCGAGGGTTGGGGAGTTGTGTATGTCGGGGGGTGCAGCTTCTGACCAGGCTCACCGTGGGGACCTGGGCATCCGGACTTCAGCCCACCCCTCCTGCTGGGACCCCCTCCCAGGGGCTCTGGGGCTTTCCCTCTCCTCACCCGCACGGTGTAGTTGAAGAACTCCGCAGAGCGCAGGAAACGCAGGTACCCCTCGGTCTCAGCGGTGGCCACAGTGATCACCAGCAGCTTCTCTGTTACCAGAGGGAGCTGGCGCTTGGGACCCATCTGTCCAGCGCCGGGCCCCACGTGTTTGCTGTCCTCCTCCTCGCTCTACTTCCCTCCCTTTTTTCCTTCCCTCGCCCTCTTAAACTCTCCTCGCCCAGGACCACTGTGACCCCAGGAAGGGCAGGGTGGGAGTGGCGCCTAGGAATTCCGAGTCCCTTTGTTCGGGAGGTCAGAACCCCCAGTTCAGGGTGGGGATGGGTAAGGGGCTTGGCGATACTCGGCCTCAAGAGCACGCTGGGCGGGGGACGGGCCGGACACCTCCTCGAGCTCCCGACCCCCTCCGGGCCAGGCTGGCAGGCACGCTGTGCCCGGCCTCCCTGGGATCTCACCTGGGTTGACCGGGTCGCGGCCCCGGGGCCGATCGGAGGCTGAAGCCGCTGGGGGCAGCAGCAGCAGCAGCAGGAGCAGCGGGAGCCGGGGTCCCGGGCCCGAGGAGGCCATGGTGGGGAGCGGGCCCAGACAGCACCCAGGATCCCGGGATCTGAGCTGCGCGCCTTGATCCCAGCTCCGGACGGGGGCGGCGGGAAGGGGGCGCCCGGGCTGCTGTGCGGCCGCCGCGGGGAGCAGCCGGGGTGGGGCCACGCCCTGGAAAAAAGGCGTATCCGGAGGCTGCAGAAAGCTCCAGATGCCGGCGCCGCAGACAAGGCGAGGATTGTCCCGGGTGCACCGGGGGCGGGGGAGGGGCGGCGGCTCCGGCCGGCGGGCCTGAGACCGGGACTCTGGGCCGAGCCAGCCGCTTGACACTCGTGGAACTGAAACCTGGACAGGGGCAGTGACCCCTGGCGGAGGGTCCGACGGGACGCGGGGGCGGATTCTGGGCGCAGCCCTGCCCGGAGAGTGCGGGCGGAAGACGGGGAGAGCCAGCTGGTGGCGGCCACAGGGAGGGAGGAAGCGCGAGCCGGCGGGACGGAGGCCCCGGGAAACTGGGGATTGAGATTTCTGCAGAGGGCCACTAGGAACCTCGGATTGCCCACGGAAGCTGGCCACTTTCTTTGACAGTCCGGCCCACCTCCTCTTCTGCCCCGGGGAGAAGCTCCAGGGGCTGCCTTTGTGATTACAGCATCTTCACAAGGAAGGACCAAAGGAAAATAAGGTTTCTCGTAAGACCACCGTCATCACCTCTTTAAAATAACCCATTTGGTGGCTCACACAAGATTTATATCGCCAGCCTGAGGCCGGAAGTGTTTTTGCCCCTATAAAACATGGCGAAAAGCTTTCTGGTCTCCAAGGGAACGCCACGTAACGAGTCAAAGCGGTGGCGCACGCGCAGAAGTAGCAGCCACCGGAAGTGATTGCGCCGCTACCCAAGCCTTGGGTTTAGTACGCGTGCGCAGCAGTCTCTTCCGGCAGTCGTATTGTGCAAATGGTGGAGAAGAAAACTTCGGGTATGTGAGCCCCCGGCGGTTCGCCCCCTTCTCCTTCCCAAGTCCGAACGAGCCCAAGAATTTTCTTACTTAGTCATTCCCCTCCTTTTCTTTGAGACAAGGTCTCGCTCTGTCACCTAGGCTGGAGTGCAGTGGTGCAGTCATAGCTCATTGCAGCCTCGAACTCCTGGGATCAAACGATTCCCCCCCACCTCAGCCTCCCGAGTGGCTGGAACTGCAGGCATGAAGCACCACGCCTGGCTAATTTTTAATTCTTAATTTTTTTTGTATTAACGGGTTCTCGCTATGTTGCCCAGGCTGGTCTCCAACTCGCCTCAAGCGATCCTCCGCGTCGGCCTTGCAAAGTGCTGGGATGCCGCTTCCGGCCCCAGCTATTCCTCTTAAATCCCTTCCCCAGCCCTCGAGTCCTGGTGTTGACCCTTCATTCACGTTTTATTGATGCTTGCTCCAAGCCAGGCGCTGGGGATGAAGACGAGAAAGACTCCTGTTATCCAAGCATTGGCTTTCTAGAATGGGGACAGACACGCAGACCTGCCACTGCATTTCACTGTAATATCTGCTATGGCAGAGGGAGGCACAGCGCCTCGGAACAGGGAGGAGTGGCATCTAGCTCAGCTTCTGGGAGGGAGGGGACAGTGAAAGCTTGGAAGGAAAAGCGAAACAGCTTGAACTGAGTCTTGAAAGTCTAGTTAGGGTTTCTCTAAGTGGGAACTTCACGTGCAAAGGCAGTAAAGCAAGAAAAAGCAAGTCGCTCAGGAAGCCAAGTCCACAGTTTGGATCTTACAGAGTAATAAGAAAGCATGGAAGGCTGGGGAAAGGTTACATTTTTAAAGGCATTATACACACTGCCCAGGAGTTTGAACTCTATGGGGAGGCAGTGGAGGGCCAGCAAAGGCTTGCTTTTTTTCTTTCTTTCCCTCTTTTTCTTTCTTTCTCTTCTTTCCTTCCTTCCTATCTTTATTTTCTTTCTTTTCTTCTTTTCTTTTCTTTCGATGGATTCTGCTCTGTGGCTCAGGCTGCAGTGCAGTGGTGTGATCTTGGCTCACTGCAGCCTCCACCTCCCAGGTTCAAGCGATTCTTCTGCCTCAGCCTCCCGAGTAGCTGGGATTACAGGCGCATGCCACCACCATGCCCAGCTAATTTTTTTTTTTTTTTTTTTTTAGTAGAGATGGGGTTTCATCATGTTAGCCAGGATGGTCTTGGTCTCCTGACCTCACATGAACCACTGTGCCAGGCCTTTGTTTTGAGATGAAGTTTTACTCTGTAGCCCAGGCTAGAGTGCAATGGTATGATCTCGGCTCACTGCAACCTCCATTTCCCAAGTTCAAGAGATTCTCCTGCCTCAGCCTCCTGAGTAGCTGGGACTACAGGCACACACCACTAATGCCTGGCTAATTTTTGTATTTTTAGTAGAGATGGGGTTTCATTATGGTGGCCAGGCTGATCTTGAACTCCTGACCTTGTGATCCACCCACGTTGGCCTCCCAAAATGCTGGGATTACAGTTGTGAGCCACCGCACCCAGCAGCAAAGGCTTTTTTTTTTTTTTAATACGGAGTCTTACTCTGTCACCCAGGCTGGAATGAAGTGGTTCTATATAGCTCACTGCAGCCTCAACCTCCCCATACTCAAGTGATCCTCCCACCTCACCCTCCTGAGTAGCTAGGTCCTCAGGTGAGTGCAGGCTACCATCCTGGGCTAGTTTTATATTTTTTGTTGAGATAGGTGTCTCACTGTGTTGCCCAGGCTGGTCTTGAACTCCTGAGCTCAGGTGATCCTCCTGCCTCGGCCTTCCAAAATGCTAGGATTACAGGCATGGGCCACTGCGCTTGGCCCTTTAAGTTTTTCAAAGGCACCGCAGTCTCCCAGCCATGACTTTTCTCATGTTGACCTCGAGGCCTGAAACTCCCTGCTGTGTCCCCTAGCCAGGTCATTCACCAGTGAGGTCTTAACCTGGACTTACCTTCTGGGAAGTCTGCCCTGACTACTCCAAAGCCAGATTGGGTGTTTCTGGCCTGGGCTCTGCAGCACTTTATACTCCGTATCCCAGCCTACCCCATGTTCTGCTTACTGTGTGTGTTTGATTATTTGTGTTTACCACTAGACTGGAAGCTTTTGCATCCCTGGAACCTAGAGCACTGTCTGGCATTTGGAATGGAGACAGAGTAGTACAGTGATCAATATCATGGTTTTTTGGTTTTTTTTTTTTTTTTTTTTTTGCTTTTTTTTTTGAGATGGAGTCACCCAGGCTGGAGTGCAGTGACACGATCTCAGCTCACTGCAACCTTCGCCTCCCAGGTTCAAGTGATTCTCCTGCCTCAGCCTCCTGAGTAGCTGGGATTGCTGGCACATGCCACCGTGCCTGGCTAATCTTTTGTGTTCTTAGTAGAGACGGGATTTCACCATGTTGGCCAGGCTGGTCTTGAACTCCTGACCTCAGGTGATCCACCCATCCCAGCCTCCCAAAGTGCTGGGATTACAGGTATGAGCCAAGGTACCCGGCCTTGGTTGTTTATTTTTTTTTTTTTAGAACAGAGTCTTGCTGTGTCACCCAGGCTCACTGCAGCCTTGAGCTCCTGGGCTCAAGCCATCCTCCCGCCTTAGCCTCCCTAATAGCTGGGACTACAGGTGTGTGCCACCATGCCTGGCTAATTTTTGTATTTGTTTTCAGATACGGGGTTTTGCCATGTTGCCCAGGCTGGCCTCGAACTCCTGGGCTCAAGGGATCCACCCACCTTGGCCTCCCAAAGTCCTGAGATTACAGGCATGAGCCACCGTGCCCGGGAAGGTCATGCTCTTTTTTTTTTTTTTTTTTGAGACAGATTCTTGTTCTGTCACCAGGCACCAGGCTGGAGTGCAGTGGTGCAATCTCAGCTCACTGCAGTCTCCGCCTCCTGGGTTCAAGCAATTCTCCTGCCTCAGCCTCCCAAGTAGCTGGGCCTACAGGCTCGAGTCACCACGCCCAGCTAATTTTTGTATTGTTTAGTAGAGACGGGGTTTCACCATGTTGGCCAGGATGGTCTCGATCTCCTGACCTCTTGATCCGCCTGCCTCAGCCTCCCAATGTGCTGGGATTACAGACGTGAGCCACCGTGCCCAGCCAGGTCATGCTCTTTGATGCTGTGCAGTGCTTTGAATTCTGACCTGGCCACTTGCTAGCTGCGTGAACTTTGGACACATTTCTTAATCTCTGAATGTTGGTAAACTGTGGATGATAACAATACTGTCCCATACGGCTGTTGTAAGGGTTAAACGGCTCAAGTTATGCAAAGAGCTGGGCATGGTGCCTGGCTCATAGGAAGTGCCCAGCAAGTGCTAGCTACTGGAGCTGCTGCTGTTATTATGACGATTAATGGGTGCTTCATACTTGTTTGATGAGTGAAGAGATCTATCATGTAAAATTACCAGAACCCGGTGAACAGCTGCTAAGGCAATGAGGAAAATGGTTTTTTGTTTTTTGAGACAGGGTCTCACTCTGTCTCTCAGGCTGGAGTGCAATGGCGCTATCTCAGGTTGCTGCAACCTCTGCCTCCCAGGTTCAAGCGATTCTTGTGCCTCAGCCTCCCAAGTAGCTGGGACTACAGGCGCCCGCCACTATACCCGGCCAATTTTGGTATTTTTAGTAGAGACGGGTTTTGCCATGTTGGCCAGGGTGGTCTCAAACTCCTGACTTCAAGTGATCTGCCCACCTCAGCCTCCCAAAGTACTGGGATTACAGATGTGAGTTGCTGTGCCCAGCTGCGGAAAAAGGTTTAAAATAGCTTCTAGGTTTCTGGTTTGGATGTCTGCATAGACGGTTCCATTCGCCTTGAGAGAAGGCAGAAGCAGACTTGGATGGGAAAACTTTTTGAGTTTCAGTGGGGCTAGTGGATTTCTTTTTTCTTTTTGATTTTTGTTGCTGTTGTTTGTCTGTTTGTTTTGGAGTCTTGCTCTGTCACTCAGGCTGGAGGGCAGTGGCGTGATCACAGCTCACTGCACACAGCAGTCTCAACCTCCCCGGCTCATGTAATCCTCCCACCGCAGCCTCCCGAGTAGCTGGGACTACAGGCATGTATGTGCAACAGGCCTGGCTCATTTTTTAATTTTTTGTAGCGATGGGGTTTGGCTATGCTGCCCAGGCTGGTTTCTAACTCCTGGCATCAAGCAATCCTACCACTTTGGCCTCCCAAAGTGCTGAGGTTACAGGTGTGTGCCACCACGCCCGGCTCAACAGGTGCCACTGCACGGCCCGTTGTGGAGCCTGGGAGGGGGCTCTGGGTTGAGGGAATCGCTCTGGGAGTCATTTGCTTGTGAGTGATCATCATCAGAGCCCTTTGTTTAGATTCAAAATCCCAGGAAGAGTGCGTAGACTGAGCAGAGAAGAGGGCCAGCCACCTCCGTAGAGGCAGGGCAGCAGCCGAGCTGGAGCCTGAGCAGCATTACTGGACATGGAGAATCCCTGCAATCTTTTCAAGGAAGCAAGCAAAGGGTCTCTTTCTACTCGATGAAGGTAGTCAGCACCGCCACAGGGCGGACAGGGCTCAGGTCCGAGGAGGAGGCCGGGAAGGCCCCCTAGAGTTGCTCCGAGGAGGGCACCTGTGCCTGGAGTGTGGGTGGTCCCCTTGGATAGTCAGATTTGGGGTGTCGAGGAGAGGGTGGGAGGTGAAGAAGCAACACGTCTTGTGGATTACTCTGAAGGAGGAGCCGTGAAGTGGTAGACCCATGAGTGTCGCCAGGTTTTTCACGGGAAGGAAAGTGCCAGTTGAGGAGGAGGGGTTGAAGATGGGAGAGGAAGGGAGTGGGCTGCAGGGGAAGGCTTAGGTGCCGTGGTGGGACTTGGGGGGCCCCGGGGCAGGGGTGTGCCCACTTGGCAACACATTTGCGGGTGGGTGGCCTGGAAGATGAGCGGGTCCAAGTGTGGGTGGCCTCTGGTTCCTTTGAGGTAGGAGATGAGCTGCTGAGCATGAGGGCCATGTGTATTGAGGGCCCAGGATAGCGTGGAAGCCCCAAGGGCGGGCGCCGTGGCCTCCCCTGTCGGCAGCGAGCCGTCTCCAGGAGGGGTCTCACTGGCTGGGACTGGGATTGGGAGGAAGGTGGAGAAAACAGGCGGGAGAGACTGAAAGGGTCTCAGCTGGTGGGACAGGAAGCATGGGCCGGGGGCTGGTCCGGGAGGAGACGGGGATCGAGGGCTTGGTGATGGGGGTGAGATCAGAGCGCTGTGGCTCCCACCCTGGGTGCCTTCCTCGACCCACCCAGAGCCATGGCTGCACCGCTCCTCTTTCCGGGAACCCCTGTAACTTTGTGTGCCCTGCCCCATCCAGTCCGCTCCCAGGACCCCGGGCAGCGGCGGGTGCTGGACCGGGCCGCCCGGCAGCGTCGCATCAACCGGCAGCTGGAGGCCCTGGAGAATGACAACTTCCAGGACGACCCCCACGCAGGACTCCCTCAGCTCGGCAAGAGGCTGCCTCAGTTCGATGATGATGCGGACACCGGTGAGGCAGGTGGAGGAGGAAGTGGGGGCGGGACTGTGGGGAAGGGGGAGAGTCCGCCCAACTCTGGCTGTGGGAGGACCCAGGAGCTCCTGGTGCCTCTGCTGGTGACTGGCTCCTGTGGCTGTGAGCAACCACACCCCCTTTCTGTGCCTCAGTTTCTTCTCGTGTATGTGAAATAAATGAGAGACTGGATGAGCTCTGACATGAAGCCTTAGATTTAGGGCCATGGAGGTGATCGTCGGCTGGGATTGGAGAATCGGGGTGGAAGGCAGTGGCTGGTAGCAAGGGGCCAACTTACAGCCAGGAAGGCAGGGCTGGGTACAGTGGCTCACACCAGTAATCCCAGCACTTTGGGAGGCTGAGGTGCGTGGATCACTTGAGGTCAGGAGTTCAAGACCAGCCTGGCCAACATGGTGAAACCCCATTTCTACTAAAAATACAAAAAAAAAAATTACCCGGGTGTGGTGGCGGACGCCTGTAATCCCAGCTACTTGGGAGGCCAAGGCAAGAGAATCACTTGAACCCAGGAAGTGGAGGTTGCAGTGAGCTGAGACGCACCACTGCACTGCAGCCTGAGTGATAGAGTGAGACTCTGTCTCAAAAAAAGAACCAGGAGGGCATGTGGGCATGGGAGCGATAACCAGAGAACGCTGCTGTCATTCTGGGCAAGTGCCATGCAGCTGATCGCCCTTGACCCCTAGGAAAGAAAAAGAAGAAAACTCGAGGTGATCATTTTAAACTTCGCTTCCGAAAAAACTTTCAGGCCCTGCTGGAGGAGCAGGTGAGATGAGGGTTGGCCTGGGAGGACCCCCCCCCCCCCAGGGCAGCGGTGAGCCTGGCCCCGGCAGGTGTTTGCTGCGCCGGTGGGAGGCGGAGTCCTAGAGCTGGCCCCTTGTCTCTGCAGAACTTGAGTGTGGCCGAGGGCCCCAACTACCTGACAGCCTGTGCGGGGCCCCCCTCGCGGCCCCAGCGCCCCTTCTGTGCTGTCTGCGGCTTCCCCTCCCCCTACACCTGTGTCAGCTGCGGTGCCCGGTACTGTACTGTGCGCTGTCTGGGGACCCACCAGGAGACCAGGTGAGCTCAGCCCCTGCCGTTCATCCCCACTCCCTCCTCCCCACAGCCTCCCCAGACCTCTCTCCCCTCATCCTGGCTCCCTATCTGTCTGCAGGTGTCTGAAGTGGACCGTGTGAGCCTGGGCATTCCCAGAGAGGAAGGGCCGCTGTGCATTGCCCAGTGGAGGGGGCTCTCCCTGGACCAAGAGAAGAGCCACTCATTCACCCGACAAAACTGTGTCTTACCTGCTAGGAAAGACCAGCCTCACTCCAGGAACCATCTGGCAGGTGGGCGGGGTCCGCCCAGTGCTGTTAGAATAAAAAGCCTCGTGCCCGGAGCCTGCCTGTTTGGTCGTGGCACATTTGGAGGTGACGGTGATGGGTCACCTGTCTCACCTGCTTGCGGCTCTGTCTGTCTTCCTCCTGCCTGCCACTCATCCCGCCACTGTCCACCCCTCTGTGTCCCTGATCGGGAGACATTCTGTCCCATTCTCCTGCCATCCCGAAGCCCCTGCTCTCCTTGGCTGCTTCTGTAAGTCATTTTATTTATTGATTTAGTTGTTTAAACTATTTTATTTATTTATTACAGAGAGGGTCTCACTCTGTCGCCCAGGCTGGAGTGCAATGTTGGGGTCTTAGCTCACTGTAACCTCCGCCTCCCAGATTCAAAGGATTTTCCTGCCTCAGCTTCCCGAGTATCTGGGACTACAGGTGCCCGACACCACACCTAACTCATTTTTTTGTATTTTTAGTAGAGTCAGAGTTTTGACTTGTTCGCCAGGCTGGTCCTGAACTCCTGATCTCAGGTGATCCGCCCACCTTGGCCTCCAAAAGTGCTGGGATTATAGGCATGGGCCACCATGCGCGGCCATGTTTCTCCTTTTTATTTCTCCAGTTGCTATATTTTCAAAGTACAGCTAGGTCCCGGGGCTGGGTGACAGGGAGATGGCAGGAGGGCTGTGGAACGGGTGCAGAATGGTACTGTGGAGGGTGTTGGGTCTGTCTTCGTCTTAAGATAAGATACTTAAGCAAAGGGGAGTGGTCAGGTCCTTGACTTTGGTGCCTCGGGTCTGAGGGAGCAGTTGTCCTTAGGAAGCCACTGTTACAAGGGGCTGCAGTGTGTGAAGTTATTAGCAATACAGAAAGCCCAGAGGTTTCTGGGAAACGGGGGAATTCATGGTTTGGCTCAAATTTATACAGCCTGCGGCCCGTACGTGGCCCAAGGTGACTTTGAATGCAGCCCAACACAAATTTGTAAACTTTCTTAGAACATGAGATTCTTTTGCAATTTTATTTATTTATTTATTTTGAGACAGAGTCCCACTTGGTTACCCAGACTGGAGTGCAGTGGCGCGATTTTGGCGCACTGCAACCTCCGCCTCCCAGGTTCAAGCGATTCTTCTGCCTCAGCCTCCTGAGTAGCTCTGATTACAAGCGCCCACCACCACGCCCGGCTAATTTTTTTTGCATTTTTTTAGAAGAGACGGGGTTTCTCCATGTTGGTCAGGCTGGTCTTGAACTCCCAACCTCAGGTGATCCACCCACCTTGGCCTCTCAAAGTCTGGAATTATAGGCGTGAGCCACTGCTCCCGACCAGTATGAGATTCTTTATTTATTTAGAGACTGGGTCTTGCTGTGTTGCCCAGGCTGGAGTGCAGGCACAATCCCGCTACTGATCAGCACGGGAGTTTTGACCTGCTCCGTGTCTGACCAGGGCTAGTTCACCCCTCCTTAGGCAACCTGGTGGTCCCCTGCTCCGGAGAGGTCACCATATTGATGCTGAACTTAGTGCGGATACCCGATTGGCATAGTGCACTACAGCCCAGAACTCCTGGGTTCAAGTGATCCTCCAGCCTCAGCCTCCTGAGTAGCTGGGACTACAGGCATGTGGCACCGTGCCTGGACATTATGAGATTCTTTTGCGATTTTTTAAAAGCTGATCAGGTATTGTGAATGTTAGTGAATTGTATGTGTTTCCCAAGACAATTCTTCCAGTGTGGCCCAGGGAAGCCAAAAGAGTGGACACGCCTGGATTAGAGGGCCCTGGTCTGGGTGGCCCTGGGTGCTGTGACTCATGTGAACTTTTTCTTTTTTTTTTTCTTTTTTGAGACGGAGTCTTGCTCTGTTGCCTAGGCTGGAGTGCAATGGCTTGGTGTCAGCTCACTGCAACCTCTGCCTTGCGGGTTCGAGATTCTCCTGCCTCAGCTTCCCGAGTAGCTGGGATTACAGACGTGTGCCACCACGCCTGGCTGATTTTGTATTTTTAGTAGAGACAGGGTTTCTCTCCCGGCCTCAGGTGATCTGCCCGCCTCAGCCTCACAAAGTGCTGGGATTACAGGGGTGAGCCCCCGTGCACAGCCTCATGTGAACTTCGCATGCCCACACCTTGTCTAAATGGATTGCAAGCTATGATCCTGTAAGCTCCTTTTGGTTGCTGTATTAATGCCCAGAACCCTGTTAACCTGATAGCAAAGCAGGGGCTTTGTAAGTATCTGTTGAACAGATGGCTTCATTAAGATATTAGTGGGATCCAGCAAAGTTGATGTTAGGCACATCTTTTTTTTTTTTTTTTTTCTTTCCTGAAACGGAGTCTCTGTTGCCCAGGCTAGGGTGCAGTGGCACCATCTCAGCTCACTGCAACCTCCACCTCCCAGGTTCAAGGGATTCTCCTGCCTCAGCCTTCTGAGTATCTGGGATTACAGGTGCACACTACCATGCCTGGCTAATTTTTTGTGGAGACGGGGTTTCACCATGTTGGCCAGGCTGGTTACGAACTTTCAACCTCAGATGATCCATCTACCTCAGTTTCCCAAAGTGCTGAGATTACAGGTGAGAGCCACTGTACCTGGCTGGTCACTGTCTTAGGCCTTCACTTTTGGGCACCTTCCTGGGGACTGGCTCAAGTATTCCCGGTGTTGTTTTGAGGAACTGCCTTCCATTTCTCTGAAGATTTGCAGCTGGGAACATGGTACTGGATTTGGTGTCAGCTTCATTTTGGAGGGGTGTATGTCAGGATTCAGAGAGAATCCAGGTGAGGTGGTTATTCAGAATGACTCAAAATTATTTGTCCTCCCATTGAAAAGTGGCCAGGTGCAGTGGCTCACACCTGTAATCCCAGCACTTTGGGAGGCCAAGGTGAGCAGATCACTTCAGGTCAGGAGTCCAAGACCAGCCTGGCCAACATGGGGAAACCCCGTCTCTACTAAAAATACAAAAACTAGCTGGGCATGGTGGCATGTGTGTGTTCCCAGCTACTCTGGAGGCTGAGGCAGAATCACTTGAGCCTGGGAGGAAGAGGTTGCAGTAAGCCAAGATTGCGCCACTGCACTCCAGTCCGGGTGACAGAGTGATACCCTGGCTCAAAAAAAGAAAAAGAAATTGCAAAACTATCTCATAATGTTTTAAGAAAGTTTACAAATTTGTATTGGACCTTATACAAAGCCATCGTAGGGCGCATATGGGCTACAGTTGCGACAAGGTTTATCCTCTCTGCCAACAAGTACACTCCAGTGAGAAAAAAGAAGTAGAAAAGACTATTTCAGAGACCGGTGTGGTGGCTCACACCTGTAATCCCAGCACTTTGGGAGGTCGAGGTGGGTGGATCACCTGAGGTCAAGAGTTCGAGAACAGCCTGGCCAACATGATGAAACCCCATCTGTACTAAAAATATAAAATTTAGCCTGGCGTGGTGGCAGGTGCCTGTAACCCCAGCTACTCAGGAGGCTGAGGCAGAAGAATTGCTTGAACCCAGAGGCAGAGGTTACAGTGAGCCAAGATTGTGCCATTGCACTCCACCCTGGGCAACAGATCAAGACTCCGTCTCAAAAAAAAAAAAAAAAAAAAAAAAACTATTTTGGGGCTGAATTACACCATCTGTGCTTCTCCCTGATGTCCTAGGCTGGGATTCCCGTCAACTTGCACTGTCAGCACAATCTCTGGATTCTTTCCTGACTTAGCTGACTGTTTCATATTTTGTGGTTATAAAAAGAGGCACATTGGTTCTGCTCAGTGTAAGATTTCTCTCCCAGTAATGCACCCCGCCTTCCAAAACGACCTTGAGAGGACAGAGCTGGACCCCAAGTGCCTGTGGATGCTCTCTGATTCCATCCATTTACATCTTCTAGGAAGCTGAGTCCAGGGTCTCTAGACCCCCATTGAAAACCGTAATTTGGTGGCACTGTGGCTCATGCCTGTAATCCTGGCACTTTGGGAGGCAGAGGCGGTGGATCACTTGAGGCCAGGAGTTTGAGACCAGCCTGGCCAACATGGTGAAACCCAGTCTATACTAAAACTACAAACATTAGTCGGGTGTGGTGGTGCGCACCTGTAACCCTAGTTATTCAGGAGGGTGAGGCAGAGAATCGCTGGAACCCAGGAGGCAGAGGTTGCAGTGAGCCAAGATCACTCCACTACATGCCAGCCACCTGGGAGACAGAGTGAGACTTCCTATTAAAAAAAAAAAAAAAAAGGCACCAGTGTTTCTAGCTGGAGCCCAGTCCAGGGCCTAGGAAGCAGCCCGGTGTAATGGTGGAGCACAAGTTATCCAGAGGAACGGGGGCAATGGAGATGGAAAGGTGGGCTAGGGTGAGGCGGCGTGTCAGGTTCATAACTGTCTGGGGCTTTCTTCTGGCAATGCCAGGAGCTGCCAAGGAAGGGCGGTCAGTGGCCCTCCAGGAGTGCATTGGGAAGGCCACGCTTGAGACCCCCAGTGGTAGGGCAAGAGAGGATGAGGGCCTGCCCCAGAACCAGGCAGTGGAGAAGGGAGAGAAGTGAATGGGTATAAAAAACACCGTAGAGGGAGAATTGGAAGGATTTGGCAATGAACAGAGGAGAGGAAGTGGCGGAGCAGAGGGGAGGGAGAGGTTGTCCATCTGTAGGCAGGTCGGCCATGCTGGTGACAGGGGTGATGGGAACTGGAGCTCTGGGGAAAGTGATGAATTTGATGTGTCTGGAGCCCACCTGGTGGGAGCATACATATACTCCTGAGGTGCGGGAGAGGCACAGATGGAATGCAGATGCAGTTCTCTTCATCCCAGGAGAGGGTTGGTGAGGACGAATGAATGAGATGAAGGAGAAAGGGAGGGGCTGCACTCAGAATCCAGGGCTCCCCAAGGGACTGGCCACTTGTCAGTGCTGCAGAGGATAGGGCTGGGATAGGGCTTCATTCCCCTCTTCACTGGACACCAGGCTTCTTCCTAGTGGCCTCATTTTTTTTTTTTTTTTTTGAGTCGAGATCTCTGTCACTCAGACTGGAGTGTAGTGGTTCAATCACAGCTCACTGCAGCCTCCAACTTCTGGGTTCAAGTGACCATCCCACCTCAGCCTCCTGAGTAGCTGGGACTACAGGTGCACACCAACATGGTCGGCTAATTTTTGTATTTTCTTAGTAGGGAAGGGGTTTCACCATATTGGCCAGGCTGGTCTCGAACTCCTCCCAGCCCTCAGCCTTCCAGAGTGCTGGGATTACAGGGGTGAGGTACTGAGCCCGGCCTGTGTCGTCTTAAGTGGGTACAGCTCTGAGCTCAGTACCCACTGGGCCTGCACCAAACCCACCCACAACCCAGCACCTTACCTGAGCTGGACACCACCGAGGTGCACACAGACCCCCCCCTCCATGGACCTCCAGAGACTCTTCTGGAAGGTGCTACATCTTCCCCGGAGAAATGCCCCTGCGTCAGTCCCAGTTAATGTGGAACAGAATTTCAAGAGGCTCCTCACTCCTGGTATCCATCCACGCGCAGGCCCAGGGCGCGCAGCTCTGCTCTAGACTGGCCGAGGTGAGTGAAAGGGGCGGCTCGGGACCTCAGGCTGGCCAGGGGCCACCTCTGCTATTTCCAGTTTCCTGGAGCAGGGGCTTCCGGGATCTGCTCCTTGGTGACTCTTATCAGCAATTATGTGCCACTCGCGAAATCATTTGCAACCCCTCTTCTGTTTTGCTGTATGACAGCCCCAAAGTGGTGGATAGGGTGACAGTCTGGGGTCCGAGACCTGAACCGACCCCTGGTCCCACCCCCCACCCCTTGGCTTGGCCGGCCGCTTCTGACACCCTCAAGCCTGAACGGTCACAATATACATTTATTAGTATTTATACAGAATACAAACGTTCGAGGACACCTCCGTCCCCTTCACAGCCCAGAGCCCAGGCTCAGAAGATGAGGGATCCAGCCTCAGGGGGGCATGCGACTTCCCAAGAGCGGTTCTTGTCCTGGTGGGGGCGTGGCCGGGGTGAGGCTCCGACCGGGGAGGCGTGGCCTGTGGGGCGTGGCTCCGGCGCGGGGCGTGGCCGGCCCCTGAAGTTTCTACTGGGGAATGGGTCCCGGCCAGGACCCCTCTCCGCGGGGCAGTGATAAGGACAGTGGGGCCCACGGGACAGAGCTGCTACACGTAGGCGTTTTTGCCGTATTTGTCAAAGCTGCTGTCGTCTTCTTGGTCCGAGATGGTGACTGGCTTCACGGACAGTGGAGCCCCGTAAGGCAGCCGGGCGCTGCGGGGCGGGGCCCCGGTCAGAGCTGGGGTGTCGCCCTCTCCCCAACCCTGCTCGGTATCCTCATCAGAGCCACAGCAGCAGGTGGAGCAGAGGCAGAGGCCGCCCAGCATGGAGATCAGGGAGGCGCTCCAGCCCAGGTAGAGGGCGGGGCCCAGCTCGTACCTGCGCACAAGAGCGGCCCGGGTGTGGGGGGCACCGTCAGGCGCCAGCGCAGTGGGCAGGGCTGAGTCCCACCCGCTGCCCCGAGGGTGGGTTCCCTCACTCACTTGGTTCCGGGATACAGGGGGTCGAAGAAGTCCCTGGTGATGTTGAAGGCGTACCAGGAGATGGCCACCATCCCGCAGATACCTGGGGGCAGGAGGACGACCCCAGTCCAGGGGGAGGGATAGTGGGCGAGGAGGCTTTGCGGGAGAGGCAGGCAGGGGCTGTCCGGAGTAGGATGGGGGCACCAAGTCCAAGAGCAGCAATTTAACTCAGTCATTTCTCCCCGCCCAGCTTATAAGCCTTCCTCCTTCCTGCAGTCAAATTCTGAAAGTAGCCCTCAGGCTCCAGCCCACCCTGCTCATCTCCCACTACCTCGACCTCTTCCTGCCTGTCCTCAGTCCCAGACCTGCCTAGTTCATGCTCATCTCTAAGGCCTTATCTCCTCACCCAGAGTCCCATCCAAATCCCAACCACCCTTGAAGCCCAGCTGGTGCCCTGGGAGCCCAGGGTGGTCCTTTCCTGCAGCCAGGCAGACCCCCAGGCTAGCACCACCCCACTCACTGGGAGCTTGTCCTCTTGCAAGCCACCTGACCTTTCTGGGCCCGTTTCACCTCTGGAAAACAGGGCAGTACCCACCCTACCTCAAAGGCTTATTGTGAGGCGATGGTGCAGGAATGTTCTGCAAACTGAAAAGCCACAGCCAGATGGCTTTTTTTTTTTTTTTTTTGCTGAGACAGGGTCTCACTATGTTGCCCAGGCTGGTCTGGAACTCCTGGGCTCAAGCCAGTTGTCCCACCTTGGCTTTGTTTTTTTGTGTTTTTCTGTGTTTTTTGGACAGAGTCTTGCTCTGTTGCCCAGGCTGGAGTGCAGTGGCATGATCTCAGCTCACTGCAACCTCTGTCTCCCAGGTTCAAGTGACTCTCCTGCCTCAGCCTCTGAGTTGGGACTACAGGTGCCCGCCACCATGCCTGGCTATTTTTTTGAAACAGTGTCTCGTTCTGTCACCAGGCTGGAGTGCAGTGGTGCGATCTCAGCTCGCTGCAACCTCCACCTCCCAGGTTCAAGTGATTCTCCTGCCTTAGCCTCCCAAGCAACTGAGACTACAGGTGCCCGTCACCATGCCTGGCTAATTTTTTTTTTTGGTATCTTAGTGGAGACAGGGTTTCACCATGTTGGCCAGGATGGTCTCGATCTCCTGACCTTGTGATCTGCCTGCCTCGGTTTCCCAAAGTGCTGGGATTACAGGCACAAGCCGCACGCCCAGTGGTATGGCACTGTGTGTGTGTGTGGTAATGTGCGCCCTAACTCTGCTCCCCAGCCAGAGTGCAAGCTCCCAGAGGCAGCCACTCACTCTCATCTTTGAAGTCCCTCCCACACCTGGCAGAGGCTGGCCCCTACTGGGAGCTCAAGAAACACTGGGGTTGGGCTGATTTGCAGCCAAGGGATTTGGGGAGTATGGACGAGGGAGAGGTGAGCAGGTGTCTGAACAGCGGGCTAGGGGAGGCGAGCGTGAGGAGTGAGAATTGGAGATGAGCGGAGGACAAAGCAGCCTGGAGTCTGCGGCCCAGGGGGACCCCCGCCCCATCACCTTCCCCCAGTTACCGGCCAGGATGTGGAGGGCCCCTGCGGTGGCCGCCAGCTTGGCTTTCCTGGAGAGCTCCAGACTTCCAATGTTGGTGCAGCGCAGGCCCACTATGCCTAGCAAGAGGCCGAGGAAGCCCAGGAAGATGGCGGTGATCATGAGCGCCCGGCAGGCCTGAATATACCCTGGGGGTGGGGGCAGAGTCATCAGCCTTTCCCATCTTTTCACCCCTCTCTGATGGAGCCAGCCCAACAGCCCCTTGACATCTTTTTTTCTTTTTGAGATGGAGTCTCAAAAGACTGCACTCACCCATGATGGAGTTCAGTGACACATTCTCAGCTCACTGAAACCTCCACCTTCTGGGTTCAAGTGATTCTCCTGCCTCAGCCTCCCCAGTAGCTGGGAATACAGACACGCACCACCATGCCTGGCTAATTTTTGTATTTTTGGTAGAGACAGGGTTTCACCATGTTGTCCAGACTGGTCTCAAACTCCTGACCTCTGCACATCTAGGCCTCCCAAAGTTACAGGCGTGAGCCACTGCAGTCGGCCCCCCTCACTTGCTTGCTCTTGTACCTAACAGTCCCCAAGTCCTCTCATTCCCCTGGGCTCCTCCAACCTACCCAGCTGCAGTCACCCCTCCCTCCTTAGGCATCTGGGCCCCTCCTGCCCCGCTCCCCACTCCTCCCATGCACCTGGCTCGCTTTGCTTGTGCCTGGGTTACAGGCTTTCTCCTGGGCACTCCCAACACCTAGGCTGGGTAACTCTTTGTTCTGGGGGCCGTCCTGGGCACTGCGGGATGTTCAGAAGCCTCCCTGGCCTCTATCCACGGGGTGCCAGTAGCAACCCCCTCCCCACAAGCTGTGACGATCACTGTGCAGCCACCCACTGAGAATCACGGCTCTATCGAGTTGCTCTCGTGTTGCTGGGTATTACGGAACCCACAGCTAAGCACCGCTGTTGCCTTCCCCATGATTCCACTCCAAGTCTTCCTTGAGTGCCTAGCACAGCGCTGGAGGTAAGGGGCAGCAGTGCTGTACAGCAGAGGGTCTAGGGCAGTTTTTTTTTTTTTTTTTTTAAACAGTCTTTCTCTGTCGCCCAGGCTGGCGTGCAATGGCGCAATCTCAGTTCACTGCAACCCCTGCCTCCCGGGTTCAAGTGATACTCCTGCTTCAGTCTCCCAGGTAGCTGGGATTATGGGCACATGCTACCATGCCCAGCTAATTTTTTGTATCTTTTGTAGAGATGGGGTTTTAACATGTTGTCCAGGCTGGTCTCAAACTCCTGACCTTGTGATCCACCTGCCTCGTCCTCCCAAAGTGTTGGGATTACAGGCGTGAGCCACCACACCCAGCCTAGGGCAGTTTTAGAGACAGGGTCTTGCTCTGTCCGCAGGCTGGAGTGTAGTGGTACCACCACAGCTCATCCCTGCAGCCTTGAACTCCTGGGTGCGGGTGATCCTCCTGCCTCAGCCTCGAGAGGAGCTCAGGTTACAGGCGTGAACCACCACACCCGGTTGAGTTTCTGATGTGGAAGGTGGGATACCTGGGCTCAGGACTGATCCTGGCAGTCTAGCTGTCTTTCAGTGCCTCAGTTTCCCTTTTCTCAGAGCTGGAGGCTGCTGGCTCCCTCTCTGGCTTCTCCCTTCTCCTCCCTTCTCTGTCTTTGATAGTTGCCAAGCACTGCCAAGGACCTTGCACCCCTTTTCCGGGTGGGGCATAACCGTTGGTGCTGAAGGGGAAAGGCTGGCCCCTGGCAGGAGATGAAGGGTGCAGAGTCGGGGGGTAGGCAGGAGGGGCAAAGTTCTCCGGGAGTACTTTCTTCCTCCAGCCACTCCCTCTGGGGCTGACACCGGCTGTGCGTGCCCAGGTAGCTCTGGAGTCAAAGGAGAGGCTCTGGAAGTGCCTGAAGGCACATGGATGGTGTGGCAGGGATTGGTGTACAACTTTGGGAGATGCAGTCAGGTCCGTCTCCCAGGACCACACCCGCTGTGGAGTCGGAGTCCTGGCTCCCTTCTCCTGCCTGTGAGATTCGGGGTGGGGTGCTCTACCTTGCCAAGGCCTTTCAGCTTCTGTTAACGGTTCCCCCCACCTCCCCATGGTGGAAATAACATAGACAGAACCACCTACCCCAAGGCCTGGAACCCCACCACCCTCTACCCCATGCTCTGGGGACTCTGGCACTGTCATGCAATTCCCAAGGGGGGCCCTCTTGGGTACGCAGGCTCACAGCAGAGCCACCTCCCCATAGCACGGGGTGTCTGAGGAGTGGATGTCGGGGCTACCTCCAATGTCCCTTCTGGCCACTCAACACTCTAGGCTTCTGGCCCAGGTTTGTACTCAGCTTTTAGAGGGTTTTTCTTGGTGGGGGGGCGCCTGCCCTGCACAGTCAGTCCTGGAGAGGAGGAAAACACAAAGCCTTTGCCGGTGCTTCCCAGGAGGGGCTGGGTGTAGTGGGGGCACAGGAGACCCACTCAGACCCCCTGACTGCTCAGAGCAGCTCCGACATCCCTGAGGGCGGTTTCTCTAAGCCCCACTTCATGTGCAGCATGGCCCTCAGTGCCTTCCCTGCCACGCGGTGCCTGGAGAGCGGGCTGGCCCCAAAGGACCCAGGAGAGCGTGGAGCAGCGCCTCTCGAAGTTCACAGACACCAGGGCTATCTCTGGCATAGTATCAGACTGAGGGGAGACTGCCCTGGGGAACAGTGGGGTGTCCTCATCCTAGGGGGTGAGCAGGGAGTGGGAGGTGCTGCAGCCACAGAAAGAACTGTCTTGGCCCCAAAGAGCTGTTGGCTCCAGCATTCTAAGACCCCAGAAAGACGCTGTCCTGGAAGCCCCACACACCTGCACGCACAACACCCCTCACTGTAGACGCCCAACCTGCAACTTGCAAGACGCCTCCCTTCACCAGGGCCCTTTAGATGTCAGCCGGACAAGGAGGCCAGTGTCCCCGATAGTGAGGCTGGGGAGGCTGGGGAGCCTGGAAGTTCATCAACCTCCCAGAGTCCAAGATGGGCCCCCCACCCTGCCCACCCCAGCAATCCCACCCCCAAAACATGCTCGACTGTATGAGTGCCTGTGTGTGTTAACCTCACGTTAACATTTGCACTTTCTCAGACACCTGTGAACTGGGACGTACCCTAACCTCACAGGCGGGTGAGATGAAGCTCATTTCATCACTTGCCCATGGCACAGAGCTGGGAAAGCAGTCTGATTCTGGTGCCCACACCTGTAACAGCTAAAAGTGCCACACTAGCATAGGGGTCCACGTGTGACAAGGTCTTCACTCCAGTTCCAGGCAGGGGCTGCCCCCGGCACTTCTGACTGCAGGAACCCAGACCCCCAGAGCTGAATCCAGGGCTCCCTGCATCCTCACGGCAGCACCCCCCCTCCCCTGGGGTCTCTGCTGCTTCCCCACTGCCCTCTCTCCCCGGAGCGATCCCCACCCCATACCAGAGAGGGCCAGCAAGGACGGGAACTCCCAGCAGTTGTAGACGCCCAGGGAATCGGTGGCACAGCTAAACCAGAGGTTCTCGAAGATGGTGTTGGTGGTGATGACGCTCCCGTGCACGGTGGACACTCGCCAGTAGCTGTTTGGCAGCGTCACCCCCAGCATCAGCAGCCCCACAGCGGCCATGAAGAAGCCAAAGGTTTCCACAGCCATCGACATGGTGGGATGCAGGGCCCCGGGGCCTGGTGCCCCAGAGAGGGGGAGGGGTGGAACCCCTAGGCAACTGGCAGGGGCCGCGCTAAGAGGTGTCTGGGCAGGCTGGAGGGGAGCTGGCCTCTGCCTCAGCCTCCTTCTTCCTCCGGCTCAGGTCCGTCTCTACTTTCTGCCTCCAGGTTTCCGCCTCCCTCCCGCTCTCTGGGTCTCTCCGCTTCCTGGCAGGTCAGAGGAATGAGCTAAGCCTGCGCGAGGCAGCTGTTGACTAGATGGAAGGAATAACCGAAACGGGCCAAAAGTCCACTCCCTCCCCCCAGCCTCTGGGCTGCCCTGGGCTCCCCGCCCCATGAGGGTGGGGGGGCAGATTTACCCTGGAGCCACAGACGGATACGGCCAAGGTGGGGCCCCCCAAGGGAGGCATTGGGAACTGAGGGGAAGTGTCTGTCTCTGACTCAGCTTTCATCGGGGGCCAGAGAACGGAGTAAGAGGGACAAGGAGTGAAAAGATGACAGAGACAGACATGAGAGCAACAAGGGACAGACAAAATGAGGAGCAGCCTTCAGTGGAGAAGGATGGAGGGACCGTGAGAACAGTCTGACCCTCGCAGACCTAGGTGTTGGGGCATTCGAGTCTCTAAGGAAGATGAATGTGGATGAGAGGACAGGAGGCTGGGAGACACACAGCCCTGGGCTCCATCCAGCCTGGACTGGAACTTAGCCCCCAATTCCTTCACCAAGGCTACTCAGCCAGGGATCTCAGTCCCCTGAGCTTGCCTCTGCTCCGTCAGTGACAGGCCCGACTGCTCACTGCATGGGCAGTGGGGAGAAGTGGGGCGAAGTGGGGCCAGGGGCCGGGTGCCGTGGCTCTCGCCTGTAAAGCCAGCACTTTGGGAGGCTGGGCTGAGAGGACTGCTTGAACTCAGGAGTTCAAGACCAGCGGGGAAACACACTAAGACCTCAATGGGACCAGGGATTCAAGCCCCCCCCCCCCCGCCACCGCCACAGTGCTGCCTACTCGGCCCTAGGGACTGTCCTGGGTGTGAGCGCCGCAGGGCTGAGTAAGGCCACCAAGGAGTTGCTCTCGCCCAAAACTCCAGTTTCCACCTAAGTTGATCTTTGACTCAGCATCGAGCCTGGTCCTGCTGCAAGCGGCCTGGAGCGTGATCCTGTGGCTGAGCTCTGCGACCTGTTCTCAGTTATCAGCAACTGCCACCGGCTCAATCCACAAATGATGATGGATTAGCAGCCTCTGGATCCCCATCTGGAGCTAGTGCAGAGCACCTGTCGCAGGGCAGACACTCTCATCTCCTGCTCTGGTTCCCTTGGGCTCAGTCCCTGGAGGCCATCAGCGCTGCCTGCTCACCTACCTGGCCCCGCTGGGCTCCTCCAGCCTCTCCCAGCCTCTCCTAAGGTGTCTCCTCCCTACCCCTGGCCAGGCTGGCCTGGCCTGTGGAACGAGAGGTATGCAGTGAAGCAAAACAGGCCCATGCGGAGCCTGGCACCAGGTGGGGAGGCTGGCCAGATGGGGCTGGGTCCTGACCTTCCAGCCCACAGGCGAGAGCTGAGGCGCCCTGGGCTCTGACCTCTCCTGGGACCGCTGCCTACTCCGTGACAGAGGCAGCTTTCCTTCCCCCACAGGCCCCCCCTCCCTGGAGGAGGAGGTGGTAGGAGGAAGGGGAGGCCACAGGAAGACAAAGGGAGGGAAGGGCGGGGTAGAGGAAGAATCCAAGGGGTGCCTGCTGTGGAAAACCCCAGAGAGGCAGCTGAGTGGGTCAGAGGAGAAGGCCAGCCTGAAGCCTGGCCTGACCCCACAGTTCTGCCCGTTCCTGCTCAGGTCACTGCCTTCTCCCAGGACTCTGGGATCATGGAAAAGCCCCATGTATTCAAGCTGCCCGGCACTCTCAAGGACATGGCTTCAGGGAAGGGAGGAAGGGTGTGGGCTCTGGGCTGCTCAGTGGACAAAGCCCGTGCCAACCTGGAGGGCAGGGGCAGGAAAGAACTACAAGTAGCGCCTCTGTCCCCTGCGTCCAGCGTTCGGAACCCACCCCTCCTCTCAACGCAGACACAGAGGTTCCCAAGCCACAGCCCCGTTTTATTTACACTCATCCCAAAGTGCATGATTTGGGGCTGAAGGACGAGGGGTCTCAGGGGAGCAGAAGTTAGTTGAAGGCCACAGAGGACAGACACGGGGGTGCAGGGGGAGAACAGGGAAGGGACGGCAAGGACAGACAGGCCCTCCTGAAGCGTCCTCCACAGGCTCCCACGCGTCCTTCAGGATTTGGACTTGGACACAGCTAGTCCAATGAGTCCAGCCAGGCCTGCCACACCCAGGGCCATGCCGCCCACGATGGCCATGCCCACCAGTCCATCTGGGGAAGGAAAGGGACACTGTCAGGAGCCCCGCCCGTGCAGGGACCCTGACCGTCCCCTTCCACCAGCCCTGCTCCTCAACAGATGTGCACCTCTACCTGGAGTTGCAGGGCAAGGGACTCCCAGAACGGGAAGGGGTGGGGCTGAGGAGGGGCTGCCTGGAGGGGTTCATTTACAGAGAAACCAAAGCACCCACGGGTGGGGAGGAGAGGGCTGAACAAAGGAGCCAGGGCTGTCACCTTTCTTCATGGCCTTGTCAATTAGCCGCTCCAGTTCCTTGGCCTGGTTGTTCTCAGGCTCTGTCTGCAGCAGCCCTCGGACGTACTTTAAAGCCTTCTCATACTCCTAGGCTCGGGGAAACGTGCTCATTAGATACACCCTCGAGTTTTTTTTTTTTTTTTTTAAATAAGAGATGGGGTCTCACTGTGTTGGCCAAGCTGGAGTGCAGATTGCAATCACTGCTCACTGCAGCCTCAAACTCCCAGGCTCAGGCAATCCTCTCGCCCCAGCCTCCCAAGTAGCCAGGATTACAGGTGCCAGCCACTGGGCCAGCTACAGCTCAGTATCCCACAGCTCCTGCCCACCTGAAGGACCTTCCCTTCTTCAGCCCTGGGGGCTCCTCCCTCAACCTCCACCCCTCCCCTCCCTCCAGCCCCACCCCACGGAGTAGAGTCCACAAACTAAACCACCCCAACTCTGCGGGAGATAACACTGCAAGGCTTGGGCCTGCACCCAGCCTCTTGACGTCACCCTCCTCCCCACACCCTCAGCACTCTGATCTTCCCTCGGAGTCCTGATCTGACACCGCTCCGCACCTCTGCATCCCTTCAGCCTCCCTGGCCCTGGAGGACAGCAGTAAGGAGGTACTGCAGCCCCCAGAGGAGGGTGAAGGGGAGGGCCCCGCCTCACCTTGAGCCGGTAGTTCCCCACAGCCAGGTAGAAGACGTAATCCCGCTGCTCCTCTTTGCTTCCTTTGGGCAGCAGCTCTGGGGGAGGGGCAGGGAAGAGGGTGAGAACTGCTTCATCCATTTCCTAATACTGTGTCCCAGAGGCCCCTTCCACTCTCTGAATGCCTCTGCGATCTTGGGAGGGTCACTGTCCTGAGCCTCCCTTTCAGCTCCAGTCACTCCCAGCACCTCTAGCTGGAGCTCTGGGGCAGGGTGAACCCCAGCTGCCCCAACAGTCCAGTGACAGAGCATCCCTTTATCAGTATTACAGCCGACTGGTCCATCCAACTGAACAGAGGAAATCGGGGCCTTGGAGAAGCCAAAGGCAGCGCGACTCAAGTTTTGGCATCTGTGGTACTTTCTTTTTTTTTTTTTTTTGAGAAGGAGTTTTGCTCTTGTTGCCCAGGCTGGAGTGCAGTGGTGTGATCTCAGCTCACTGCAACCTCTGCCTCCCGGTTCAAGCAATTTTCCTGCCTGAGCCTCCCAAGTAGCTGGAATTACAGGCACCCACCACCACACTCAGCTAATTTCTGTATTTTCAATAGAGATGGGGTTTCACCATCTTGGCCAGACTGGTCTCAAACTCCTGACCTCAGGTGATCTGCCTGCCTCGCCCTCCTAAAGTGCTGCTGCTGTGGTTTTAACTATAATGCCTGCTGTCCAATTATTTTTTAAAAAAATGTTAGGACTCCCCCTTAAAAAAATCAGCTCAAAACTCACCTTCAATTAGCCTTCCCTGAAGACCTCACCTGACTTTTCCTTCCTTCCTTCCTTCCTCTCTCTCTTTCCTTCTTCTTTCTTTCCTTCCCCTCTTTCCTTTTGAGACAGGGTCTCGCCCTGTCACTCAGGCTGGAGCACAGTAGCACATCCATGCCTCACTGCAGCCTCAACTCCTGGGCTCAGTGGTCCTCTTGCCTCTGCCTCCTGAGTAGCTGGGACTGTAAGTGCACACCACCACACCTGGCTAATTAAAAACTTTTTGTTATAGAGACAGGCCAGGTGTGGTGGCTCACTCCTGTAATCCCAGTACTTTGGGAGCCCAAGGCAGGTGGATCACTTGAGCTCAGGAGTTTGAGACCAGACTGGGTAACATAGTGAGGCCTTGTCTTTATTTGTAACAAAAAAATTTTTAATGAAATGAAAAACAATCAAACATTAGCTAGACATGGTGGCAGGCACCTGTAGTCCCAGTTACTTGGGAGGCTGAGGCAGGAGGATCACTTGAACCGAGAGGCAGAGGTTGCACTGAGCCAAGATTGCGCCACTGCACTCCAGCCTGGCTACAGAGCAAGACTCCATCTCAAAAAAAAAAAAATAAGACAAGATTTCCCTATGTTGCCCAGGCTGGTCTCAAATTCCTGGCCTCAAGCCATCCTCTGGCCTTAGCCTCCCAAAGTGCTGAGATTACAGGCATGAGCCACAGAGCCTGGCCCCACTTGACTTTCTTTTTTTCTTTTTTCTTTAGACGGAGTCTTGATCTGTTGCCCAGAGCAGAGTGCAATGGCATGATCTCCGCTAACTGCAACCTCCCCTTCCTGGGTTCAAGTGATTCTCCTGCCTCAGCCTCCTGAGTAGCTGGGATTATAGGCGCATGCCACCACGTCCAGCTAACTTTTGTATTTTTAGTAGAGACGGGGTTTCACCATGTTGGCTAGACTGGTCTCGAACCCCTGACCTCATGATCTGCCCACCTCAGCCTCCCAAAATGCTGGGATTACAGGTGTGAGCCACCTGGCCCCACCTGACCTTCTTAATTCAGAGACTGCCTAGAGGGTAACTGCACTCTATGCACTAGAATTTGTTGCCAAATAGTTTTGCAAGTGTTTATAAATCTTCCTAAGTGTCTGGACTGTTTCCTCAACTAGAGTGGCAACACTTGGAGGGGCCGTTTCTTCTACAGCTCCACCCTGCTGCAGAATAAACCTGAAAATCTGAATGGTGAAAGTAGACAAACACACGGTGAAATTATCTGTATGTTTTAAGAAAGAGTCTTATCTTTATAGATTTTCAACAGGCATCCTTCGCTAGCACATCAGCATTCTGTATTCATGGATTCAACCAACCACGGATCAAAAACACTCAGAAAAAAAGATAACTGCATCTATACTGAACACGAACAGATCTTTTTTCTTGCCATTATTCCCTAAACAATACCGTATACTATTTACACAGCACTTACATTGTATTTGGTATTATAAGTAATCTACAGATGATTTAAAGTATATGGGAGAAGATGTGTAAGTTACATGTAACACCACAAACTTGGGTGGCTATTGCTATCTGTGGGGGTGGAGTTCCTAGAACCCATCCCCCACGGATACAGAGGGATGGGTGTATACTGTGTGCTTATAAATTATTACTTGAACAAAAGAAAGGGGCTACAGAGAAATTAAGTGGTTAAGTATTATGGCCTCTGACAAACGTTGACCCACCCAAAACCAATGGGAAATAGGGTTCCAATCCAAAAAGCACAATCTGGCCACATGCAGTGGCTCAGGCCTGTAATCCCAGCACTTTGGAAGACTGGGGTGGGCGGATCACCTGAGGTCAGGAGTCTGAGACCAGCTTGGCCAACACGGTGAAAGTTTTGTCTACTAAAAATACAAAAATTAGCTGGGTGTGGTGGTGGGCCTGCTAGAACCGGGAGGTGGAGGTTGCAGTGAGCTGGGATAGCACCACTGCACTCCAGCCTGGGAGACAAAGCAAGACTCTGTCTCAAACAAAAACAAAAAACAAAAAGCACTGTCTGCTCGCAAATTTGTAGGACAGTACTCTGTACCTCTTCCATGCCACAAAAGATTCTCAATAGCTACTAACTAAGCAACAAGGTGGTGGTGTTGAGGGGACAGGCATGTGCCTGGGTGTCTCAAAACTGGAGCTTCTAGTCCCAATTCTGCCATTAATTGATTAGCTGCATGACCTCAAGGCGCTTTCCCAGATCAACATAGCCTTGGGGGAACTGGCAGGCTATGACTCTGTCTGGCAAAAACAAGGGTGGGTGGTAAGTAGCCAAAAGTTTAGTGGGAGAAGTCAGGCTAAGTGTAGCCCTTGCTGCAGTAAATCCACCGGAGACAACTGCGAGGTTCCTGGACTACAGGGGCCCACGTCGTACAGCAGCCCCGATGGCAGCGCGAAGGGGAGAGTTAGGTCGCCCAGTGCCTCACCCTCGAGCAGCGCGATGCCTTTAAGGATGTCATCATTGTACTTGCTCCGCACCAGGCACCAGGCATACTCAAACTGCGTGCTCTTGGACACCGAGCCTGCTGCCTTCTCAGACTGAAATTTCTTTTCAAACTTCTGCCACAGGGGAGGAAAGGAATCATTTAGAAATGAAGGGCGTCAACCATTCTCTATCTGGACATGATGTCGGTCACACCCCATCTCCCTGGCCCTGCCCCCTTTCCCTCGCCGGTCTCAGTATCTGGCACCCCAGCTTCTGCTATCTCCGGGCCCTGGACCCAGGCTTTCGGCTCCTCCAGGCCTGCGGGCCAGCTCTTGGGACACAGGCCCCTAGTCTCCCCTCCCCCCCGGCGGTGCCGAGCGGAGATGCCACCTGGTGGCAGCTCCAGGCACGGCTCCCGGAGCAGCTGACCCGACGGTCGAACAGTAAACACCCTGTCA